AACTAACGAGAACAACCAGTGTAAAAAAAATCCAGAAACATGGGGCCAGAGATAATACAGTGGTTGAGATAGTACAGTTACTTGCCTTCCACACGATTGACCCAGTTTTGATCTCCAGCTCCCAGGGGATACAGCAGGAGTGTATCCCCTGAACTCCACCAGGAGTGGATCCCTGAGCACAGAAGAAGAAGTAAGCCCTGAGTACCCCCAGTTATGGCCCAAAACCAAACAAACAAATAAACAACTAAACAAAGTGGATACTACTCAGCTATAAGAAAAAAATTGCATTTCAGTGCAACTGAATGAGAAGGTAGATTAGAGACAGTAGTGGAGGGATATTAGCACTCTGAGTTGGTATGCTGCAGTAATACTATGCTCAAGACATTAATTTTTATAACTATTGTAAATCATGCGACCTCAGTAAATTTTAAAACTGACATTTTGAAATTTAAAAAAAGTAAGAATCAACTCTGAGTTTCTTGTAAGAAGACATATTTAAAATATTTAAATATTAGAGGAACGAAAAGATTAAATAGTGTTTACTACAATAATAACAATTTAAAAACTGCGTAGTTCTTATGAAGTTTGCAGTGTAAAGGCATGGGTTTGTTAAAAATTAAGACCTAATGGAGTCGCACAGATAGTTCAAAGAGCTAGAGCACATGCTTTGCATGGAGGAACTCTGGGTTTAATCCCTGGGACTGCATGGATCCCCAAGCACCATTGAGTATGGTGCAAAATCCAACACAAAACCCAAGCAAACAAACAAAACTAAGACTTAATTCTGTCTAATCTTTTTCTTCCCCCTAAATCTTCACATTATTACCAAAACTCGATTTACAACAGTTCAGTTTACCCAGGACATTATTTTTGATCATCAAGAAAAAGAGTACAGGACATGTTACAAGGTAATAGATACAATTTGAAGTGGTAGAGTAAGTCTGAATCAGATTCAGATACGGTAGGGATTTTGGAATTATCAGACTAGGAATGATCAGAATGATGATTAATTTGCTAAGGGCTATTATGAATAAAGTAGAGAGCATGAAGGAACAGACTGGTAGTGTAAGCAGAGATCTGGAAATCCTAATAACCAAAAGAGAATGCGAGAGATATAAGTTACTATATTGGAAATAAAACCTACTTTGATGCACATATGAGTAGACTGAACAACAGATGAGGGGAAAAAAAACTGCTGAACTTTTATTACATTCCTGATCCCGATACCTCCCACCCATGTATTCTCGGGCTCCTCAGGTAAGAGGATTTACTTCTGCTCTAAGTGTCCACTGGCTTATGTTTTTATTTTTGCTAGTTTTGGGGCCACATTCAGTGGTACTCAGGGATTACTCCTGACTGTGTGCAAAGATCGCTCTTGGCAGGCTCAGGGATCCATACGGGGTGCCAGATTTTGAACCTGAGTCAGCCACATGTAAGGCAAGTGCCATACCTGCTGTACTATCTTTGCAGTCTCTGTTTTTATTTGTCTTGTCAGTTAATCAACTTTATATACTTATATCACACACATGGATGAGATTATAGAATTCTTGTCTTTGCATCAAATGTTAATTCAAAACAGCCCATGTTACTGTTTTATTTATAGTATATTATATATCTAGTTAGTTACATATCTACCTTCCCACTTGAATCAGCTATCTGAAGGCAGGAACTCGATTTAATTAATTTATTTGCTTTTTGGGTCACACCCAGTGATGCTCAGGGTTTACTCCTGGTTCTGCACTGAGTAATTACTCTTGGCGGTGCTTCGGGGACCATATGGAATGCTGGGAATCGAACCCGGGTTGGCTGCGTGCCAGGCAAATGCCCTACCTGCTATGCTATCGCTCCAGCCCTAGGAAAGATGAAGTAATGAAATTTTCTTAAAAGTGGATGGTCATGGAGTGAAATGAGTCAGAAAGAGAGAGACAGTCATAGAATGACCGCACTCATTTGTGGAATATGAAATAACATGAGGGGCTAGAGTGATAGCACAGCGGGTAGAGCGTTTGCTTTGCATGTGGCCAACCCGAGTTCGATTCCCAGCATCCCATATGGTCCCCTGAGCACCGCCAGGAGTAATTCCTAAGTGCAAAAACAGGACTAACCCCTGAGCATCGCCAGGTGTGACGTAAAAAGCAAAACAAACAAACAAACAAAAAAATGAGACTAACACCTAAGGACAGAAGACACAAGGGCCACAAGGGCCAGGAATATTGCTCCATGATTGGCAGCCTGCCTCATGAACTGGAGGAGAAAGCTGCTGGAATAGAGAAGGGATCACTAAGTCAATGTTGGTCGGAGGAATTGTTCAGGGATGAAAGATGTGTGCTGAAAGTGGATAAAGGACCAACCGTGATAGCCTCTCAGTACCTATACTGCAAACCACAATGCCCCAAAGTAGAGAGAGATAGAGTATGGAGGAAACTGTCTGATATGGAGGCATGGGGTGGGCTGGGCTGGGGGCGGGGGGCGGGAGGCATGGGGATACTGGGGGTGGAAAATACGCACTGGTGGAGGGATGGGTGTTTGATCATTTTACGATTTTCAAACATGACAGCTTTGTATCTCACTGTGATTCAATTTAAAAAGAGGGGAAAAAAAAGGGGGTGGAAAGGGTGGGATCAAAGAGTTTGGAAGAGATTATTAGGCATTGCAAGTGAGAAAGCTCAACCCAGCACCCGCCCACCTCCTAAAAAGGAGGGAATCAATGCTCAGGACCCGGACCCTGGACCAGTGGCTCGGATTCTGAACTGGACGTTGCTCTTTTTCCCCTAGGTCTCATCCTCAGGAACTGCCACGCACTTGGCAAGGTAGGTACACCCCCTTCCCAAACGATTGCTTTCGGCCACTCGCGGCAGCACGAGGGGGCTGGACCCGCAACAGAGAGCGACGATGGGCAGGCGCCGGGGCTCCAACAGGCAAAGCCCGAGGGCCCACCCTTTGAGCCATGAGCCCGCCCCTAAATTATTATTTGGGCGCGAGACGATATGAGGGAGGAGGAAGGCGCCAGCGCGCGCTTCCCGAATTCTCGCCCCGAATCCCCGGCCACTTCCCGCCGCCAGGAGGGGAGGGCGGGGCGGGGAGAATATGTACCAATCAAATTGTAGAGACGTGAAACGTTCGCCCTCTCGACCAATAGGCGGGGCGGTAGGCGGGGCCGAGGGCTCCGGTTGGCTCCTGAGGTTTAAACCTCCTCGGCCCGACAGTTAACGACACTCTGCGCGTCGGCCGCTCGTGCGCCTGCGCGGTCTCCGCGGCGCTGGACCGAGTCGCGGGTGCCGAGCTGGCGCGGCGTCGGGGCCGTGCGCGGCGAGCGGAACCTCGCCGGGGCTGGTAAGCAGGGCTGGCAGACTTGGTGCATTGGTCTCCGAGGGCCTTGGCTCGGTGGAGAGCTCGGGTTCTGGACAGCGCCGAGCTGGACTGTCCCCGTTCCCGGTTCCTCCTGCCGTGCGGCGCACTCAGCGTTGGCATTCCCGACAGTGCACGTGCAGTGCTCCCTAGAGTCGTGTGTCCAGGTGCTGTGCAGTGCCTCTAGCGTCCGAGACCCTGAGGTCACCACGCGGGGCCGATTGCCCTGCGGAGGGGTCGGTTGCGCTGCCGCGTCCACCTCCTGGCGCCCAGCTGCAGCGGCGAGGACCTGCCCACCCCCTCCCCGGGTATCCGCCAGGGCTGGACCGAATGCAACGGGTGCAGCCCGCGAGGAGCCCCGTCGCCCCGCAAGCCTGGGGCCGGGAACCGCGCCCGGAGCCCGTTGGCCCTAGCTTGCGTCTTTGTTGTTGAGGAAGGAGTCTTTTCCCCTTGGTTACGCCCCTTTGGGGCTGGGTATCACTTTCTCTGGTTCTAACGCTTCCCTGCTTGAAACTGCAAGCTGTCCCCTCTGGGTGGGAAGGCAGTGTAGCCCCCGCGATCGCCTTCTTGTAGCGCCCAACTCTGTCCTAGTTCAAAATCCTCCCCTCCCGCCCGCCCCGAAATGCTTTCAGGTGCGACCTAGCCCGACCTGGGCCCCTTGTCACTTAGTCTTTTTGAAGATCAGGCGTCGTTGGGTATCTGGGTCAATGCTGTGGGTCGATATCTGTATAGATCTACAAATTTCTCCCTAAGAAAACCATCTTCACACTTCTAAGAAGAAAAATGTAGGAGCGTGTCGTAGCATAATGCAGTATTGACCATTCAAACCAATACCGTAAAAAAAAAAAAAAAATCCTTGACTTTAACCCTTCCAGACTAGTTTTTGTCCTTTTCTGTTTTTTTTTTTTAATGGGAAGTTTTGTGTACTACAGTGAATTTTGAAATGAATGTTGTGCTACTTATCACAAAATGTTTTGCTGCTCATATTTCTATATTTGCAATCTACAATTTTTCCTTCTGGTCTTTGGACCACACCCAGTGGTGCTCAGGGCTCACTCCTGGCATGCTGGGATGGCTGTGTGGGATGGCAGGGATCAACCCAGGTCAGCTGCATGCGAGGCAAGCATCCTGCCCATTGTTCTATCTCTGGCACACAATTCTGGCTTTTAAATTTTCAGAGAAGTTTTTTTTAGTATTCTCTCAAGATTAAAAGCCTAAACTTTGGGCCTTTTAATCATTTTTCCTTTCCTTTAACAAAAATTGTGGGACTGAAAAAATGGTGCAGCCGGTGTCAGTTTTTGTTTTTTGGGCCACCCAGAGCACTATGTGGCACCAGGAATCCAACCTGAGGCTCTGCATGCAAACCATGTGCACAGCCTATTTGAGCTACTGTTCCAGCCCTAAAAAGAACTTATTTAAATTTTGCTGTTTTAGTGTCCTTCCCCACCCTCACCCCCACCCCACCACCACTCAGGTGTTCAGGAGTTACTGACCAGCTCTTTTCCTGGAGGTTGTTCCTGGTGGTGCTCAGGAATGTGCACTGTAGGGGACTGAACCTGGTCTCCGGCATACAAAGTAGAACTCTCAAACACTGGAGTGAGCCATGAACAAGAACTTAAAAAACATGAGCCTTGTGGTCAGCTACTTAAGAAATGATCATTTAAATGCTTTATTTAGAAACAGAATATCCAAATTACCTAAACGGCAGGAAGAAATGCCTTTACACATAGTAGTGATTAACCCATGTCTGATTAATTGATACTTTTGACTTCTGTTTCAACACAGGCTCTTTTTGTTGGTTTCTCCAAAATCGTATTTTCTTCCCTTAGAGTCTCTTTGCAGTCCCTTTTGGCTTTTGTCTCTTCCTCATAAAATACATGTGGATGCTCTATGCGTCCCCTTCGTACAAAATGCTGGATCCGGGATTCTAATCCTTGGCATTTAGGACGCTCCATTAGGGGTTTATATGTGCGTGTTTTCACTCCTTCCACAAATGCGCTGGTCTGCTTTATGATGGGGGGGTTAATATTTCTCCATTCTACCTCTCCATCCATCTTTGGTCCTGTAACATAACACAGTCATTACTGTACCCCAACAAAACTGGCATCAAACATAAACAAACCAAATTCCCCACAAACTGTGCATATTACTAGTTCTGGTTGGTAGGTTGTCTTATTTAGTCTTATTTATTTTGTTTTGGGGGGCCACACTAGGAGGTGCTCAGAGATTACTCCTGGCTCCGCATTCGGGAATCATTCCTGGAAAGCTCAGGGTGGCAGGGATCGAACCCGGGTCAGCAGTGGGCAAGGAAAGCACCCGACCCGCTGTACTATCTCTCTGGCCCCCTGGTCAATTGTTTTATTCTTGATTTTCTTGTCATACCTGTCCCACAGGATACCGCAAACGACTCCAGTCCTTGTAGCATACTATACAACATGTGAGTTTTAACGGCATGATTAGCCCACAGTTGTTGTAGGTGGGTAACATTGAACTCCTGAACCTCCTGGTCATAGATCCACTTGATATTTTCAAACTTACAGTCATACAAAACTAGAGGAAACTCTACAGCCATGCTAGAAAGAGAGAAAAAGAGTAGAAGAACACATAGCTAGTCAGTTCTTTGAAAAGTTTTATCAGTATTGACTATCTATTAGCCAAAAAGATACACCACTTCTAGTATATCAACTTTAGGAAGCCAAGCATAAGGCAGCTGATTAGACTTCATCTAGTTAGGACTATTTTTCAGTGTAACAAGTCACTGAGAATGCCCTTAAGTGGCTTCACTCTACTGTGATGAAATGAAAACCAGGAGCAGGAGACATAGTACAGAGTAAGGTAGTTTGTCTCATTTCCTGCTTGGCGCTACGTACGGTCTCCAGTACTTCAGGTGTGACACCAAAACCAAAAAGAAAACAAGAAGGCCGCCTGCTAGTTTTCCTAACGTCTATTTTGTACAGAATGAAGTGAAAAGATCCCATTGCTGGTCCCATCTGACCTCAGCCTTCTCGCAGAAGAAAAATGTGACTTTCTGCTTTTCCCACAATTTCAGAAACTGTAAACTAGGAAAAACACAAAAGGCACAATTTCCATAATACAAAAAAGTGAGATTTATTATGAATAACCTATTCACTTTTTATTTATTTATTTTTGCTTTTTGGGTCACAAACCCGGGTCGGCCGTGTGCAAGGCAAATGCCCTATCACTCCAGCCCCTTACTTTTTTTTTTTTTTTTTTTTTTTCCCCCTTTATTTTATTTTATTTTTTTTTAAAGTTGTAGATTTACAATTTTTTGTGCTTTGGTTTCAATTATACAATGATCAGATACCCATCCCTCCACCAGTGCCCATTTTCCACCACCATGGATAATATCCCTCCCACCCCCATCCCCCCAACCCCCCGTCTCTGTGGCAGGGCAATCCCCTGTGTTCTCTCTCTCCTTTTGGGTGTTGTGGTCTGCAAAAGAGGCATTGAGTGGCAAACATGTTCAGTCCATAGTCTACTTTCGACATGCATCTCCCCTCCTGGGAGGATCCTCCAAACATCCTTTATTTGGTGCTCCCTTCTCTATCTGAATAGCCCTTTCCTCCAGGATACCCAGCTGGCCTCTAAGTTATGGAGTAATCCTCCTGGTGCTGATCTCAGCTATTCTTGGGTATTAATCTCATACTTTGTTACTTTATATCCCCCAGATGAATGCAATCTTTCTATGTCTATCCCTCTCTTTCTGACTCATTTCGCTTAGCATGATACTTTCCATATTGTACCACTTGTATGTAAATTTCATGACTTCATCTTTTCTAAGAGCTACATAGTACTCCATTGTGTAGATGTACCAAAGTTTCTTTAACCAGTCATCTGTTCTTCAGCCCCTTACTTTTTAAATGCACCGTTTAAATGTGCTATCACTCCAGCCCCTTACTCCTTTATCCAGCCCCTTACCCCTTATCACATTTAAATGTGCTATCACTCCAGCCCCTTACTCACTTTTTAAATGCACCAGAATCTCAACACAAATTCTGAAGAAGGCAGTAGAAATGAATGTTCGTTTTTTTTATTTTTTTACTTTTTGGGTCACACCCAGCAATGCTCAGGGGTTACTCCTGGCTTTGCACTCAGGAATTACTCCTGGCAGGGCTTGGGGGACCATATGGGATGCCAGAGATTGAACCTGCAAGGCAGACATCCTAACCACCGTGCTATCGCTCCGGCTCCTGTTCTTATATTTTTAAGCGACTTAGTTCAGACACCCATTTCCTTTTCTGTTGGAATGAGCAATGAGGGAAGAAAATTAAGACTCCATTCCCATTAAAAAGACTCCACGTTCTTTAATTCTTTCCTTCCTCCGTCTTCCCTTCATTGTTGCTGATGTTGTGGTTGGAGACTGCACACAAGCCGGCTATGGTGCTCACCGAGGTTTGCACATTTTGGGGTGGGAGTAGGTTTGGATTTTGGGCCATATCTGGTGGTGCTCAGGTATCAGACCTCGCATTGCTTAGGGGACAGTATGTGGTGCTGGGGATAGAATCTGGATTGGCTAAGGGCAAGGTGCCACCTGACCTGCCGCACTCTGAGACTTGCATTCTTAACTGAGGGACATAAGGTCTGTTGTGTTCACATACCTGTCGGTGGTCACACTTAGTTCTCTCTCTCTCCTTTGTGGTGCTGATACATACACGGAGCAGTCCAGCCAGAAACAACTGTGGCACACTGGATTATAACAGAACTGTCATGCTCAGCAGAGCCTCTAGGATCACAGTGAGTGCATGTGGCGATACCAAGAGTTTAACTCATGATCATATGCTTGCTTGCATGGGTGTCATTCCGCACCACTGAGCGCTTTCCATGGACCATGCCCCGTACGTTCTTTTTTTTTTAATGAATCACCGTGAGGTACAGTTACAGACTTACAAACTTTCGTGTTTACATTTCAGTCATACAATGATCGAGTACCCATCCCTTCACCAGTGCCCATTCTCCACCACCAATGATCCCAGCATCCCTCCCAACCCTCCCCACCCCACCCTACCCCGCCTCTGTGCCAGGGCATTCCCTTTTGTTCTCTCTCTCCTTATGGGTGTTGTGGTTTGCAATAGAGGTATTGAGTGGCCATTATTTGGTCTACAGTCTACTTTCAGCACGCATCTCCCATCCTGAGCGGGCCCTCCAAGCACCCCTGTACATTCTTAACTCTACAAGTTAGTTGTGAAGCTTCACTTAGAGTCAGTGACTTAGTTATTTAGACAGTTGTTGGTAGAGAAATATATTTTATATTGGCTATATGCTAGCCAATATAAAATATATATAAAAATATTCTACTGGCAAACCTTTTTGGTTTGGTTTCGCTCCCCTCCCCAACCCCCCAAACTTACCTGTATTGAGGTTTCTGGGGATTTTTTTCTATGTTCAACAGCTCATCAATAACATCTGGCTTCTCCAGCCCTTGGCCAATCAGAAAGAGAATAGCCATCATACAGCGGACTTGATGATAAAGGAACGCCTGGCCAGTCACTTCAAATTGACATAACTGGAAAGGTTCTTGTTGTTTCTCATCACCCAGGCTGTGGCCTAGCAGCTGAACTTGAGCAGACAGAATAGTCCTCTGGAAATTAATCACTCCATTGGCTACATCCATTTTACACAAGTTCCTAAAATCGTGTGTACCAACATACTTCTGAGCAGCATAATTCATGGTTCCAATGTCTAAATCAGCACGAGGGAAAAAATAGCGGTAAGTCCGCTCAAGACAGCTGAACCTAGCACTGAAGCTCGGTTCTACAGGGGCCCAGGCCAGTACCCGGATATCAGGAGGGAGCACCCGGTTGAGAATGTGGGTATAACGGATCTCTTTAGCGGCATCATTGACTTCGTCTTTCAAATTAAAATTCTCTGAATCCCTGCTCCATGGAAAGTGAGAACGAAGGTCAAGAGAAATCACCTGTGGAATCAGAGACCGTATTTTAAAAATATAATAGCCCGAATCCTGGGGGTGTACACCTAAAAGATTACTCTGAAAAGTAGTATTGATGGAAAAACAGGATTCTGGCCCTTACCTGTCCAAAGGCACTGACGCCTTTGTCTGTCCGCCCACACCGGTGATAGTTGGAGGTCTGTCTGCTTTCTACCAGTCGAGTCTTGGTTAGGGCCTCAAATAGTTTCTCTTCAATGGTATTGTTTGTATTTTCCTGACTGGCAAAGCCTTGGTATCCCCAGCCCAGGTAGGCGATCTTCAGGGCTATGTGCCTTTGACCGTGAGCACTAAAATCAAATGCACGCTTGGCTTTTCCGGTTCCTGATGAACTTTCTCTACCCTTTGAATCCTTGTTGTTGGCTTGTTCTCTTTTAAGTCTTTCTACCTCCTGCTCCAGTTCTTGTATTCTCTTTTGGAGTTTTTCAGCGTGGGTTTTGTCTAGGTCATTTTCAGCCATAGTAAGACAACCACAGGGATAAAGCAGTCATAGAGAACCACTCTACCTGGAAAGACAGTACAAAGATAGTCAAGTTGCTGGGTTTTGTTTTGGTTCTTTTGGGGGGTGACCACTCCTGGCAATAGTCAGGGGTTATGCCTCGCTTTACACTCAGGAATTACTCCTGCCAGCATTCAGATCATACGGATGTGAGAGATCGAATCCGGGTTGGCCACGTCCAAGACAAGCGCCTTACCCACTGTACCATCTCTCTGGCCCCAAAAGTTGCTACGTTTAGTGACAGAACTATTCCATTGTGTTCAAAAAGTCTATAATAACTTGATTTAATACCTAAAGGATAGTGACTTTGGCTTCTGCCCAGATACAAAAGGCCTGAATTTATTTTGGGTTGATCATCTCCATGTCCTTTTCCACATGTCCTTTCCACCCCTCCCATCGTGTCTGGCCAGTTTTTAAAGGGGGGAAAAACAGCAAAAAACAAAACAAAAACAAACAAACAAAAACCCACCAAAATATTACTCCCCAAATAAATAGATAAATAAATCCTCTAGCATTTTCGGGTTGATTATTTGATTGACGGGGCTCTCCAGCACTGTTAGGCTCACGTGCCAAGGATTAAACCAGCCATCCAGAAACAGACTCCAGCCCTTTGACTTTTCCCTAGTCCCTTCAGCAAGCACTGTTCAGGTTTTATTTTTTAAGTAATTAGAATTTGGACTGACAGTGCTGGGGGCCACTAAGGCTGTATACCCAGCGGGGCTCAGGAGGCCATGCAGTGCTGGGGATTAAACCCAGGACCATCTGCTTTCTTTCCCTCATGTGATCTTTTTATAACAAATCTATTTGTCTGATCTTGAGTTTCAACTGCTCTCCAATGTTTTAGGTAAAATCAGTGGCTTATATACTGTTATCTAATACTCAGTTCTCTCTTGATACCGTAGAAGCTAGCCTGACTGAAGAAAACTGTCACTGACTATACTTCATATTGGAAGTAGAACCTGGACACATTTCCCCACTTAAGCAGTTCTGATGGCAGAAAGAAGGTAATTAACATTATGATTCTTTAGGTTAAAAAATAAATAAATAAGCCATTCATGCACCTTGAGCACTGATAAGTCAGTTGAATGAGGTCATTTAGATGTCAGGGATGAACTTTCTGGCATAGTTAATGATGGAAGACAGCATCCATCTATAAAGTTGGAGCAGTAAGGGACAACACTTCTTTAGGAAAAATATTCTCCACACCTGTTCCAAGACTGTTACCTAAGTGTAGATAGCTGATTGAGCTGAACCCCGCCCCCCCCCCCCCCCCCGCCTTTCCAGTTTATCTGTAATAGGTAAAATGTTTAAATGTAAAAAAAAAATGTTGCAGCCAAAAGAAAACACAGAATAAATTTTTCTTTGTTTTTGGGCTACATTCATACCTAGCAGTGATCAGGGATCATTCCTGGTAGGGTTCATCCCTAAGGGGTTCCAGTGTCTGAACTTTGGCCAACCACATTCAGGGCAAAATTTTGGAAGAGGAAAGGCATTTATAAGTAAGGCACCAAAGTCCAGAAAAATATAAAAAATATATCTAAAAATAAAAACTTAAGCCAACAAAAAAATGAAGTCAGAAGGAAAACCACAGACCAGGGAGAAATGGTGGTAAAGAGATAAAATTCAATTTCAAGTGTTTCATAATGCAAATCAGTTTTAATATAAGTTTATAAACCTAGAAAAAGTTTAATTTCACCCAATTTAAATAAATGCCAGTATGTATACACACACCCACATACACATATAATTGATTATAGAGTATGTAATATGTACTATATAAAAAGGTAGGTAAAGGCCCTCCCGTTGATCGTCAATTTGCTCGAGCGGGTCCAGTAACGTCTCCATTGGAGACTTTGTTGTTACTGTGTTTGGCATATCGAATACTCTCAGTAACTTGCCGGGCTCTCCGAGAGGGGCGGAGGAATCAAACTCGGGTCGGCCATGTTGGCCCCTTGTAAGGCGAACGCCCTACCACTGTGCTATCGCTCCAGCCCTTGTACTATATATTATTTAATATATGCCAATAGGTAAAAAGGTAAAGGTAAAGGCCCTCCCGTTGATGGTCGATTTGCTCGAGCGGGCCCAGTAACGTCTCCATTGGAGACTTTGTTGTCACTGTGTCTGGCATATCGAATACTCTCGGTAGCTTGCCGGGCTCTCCGAGAGGGGCGGAGGAATCGAACTCGGGTCGGCCATGTTGGCTGCGTGCAAGGCAGACGCCCTACCGCTGTGCTATCGCTCCAGCCCAATATATGCCAATATGTGTACAAATATGTATATTTATACGTGGTGTCAGGGATCAAGCCTGGGTCTCTTTATGCAGAACCCTCCATTCATGCAAATCTCTCCATTCTGAGAACTCCTCTCTCTTTATTTTGGTTTTTGGGCCACACTTGGCTGGTGCTTACTATCGCTCTGTGCTTAGGGATAACTACTGGCAGGGCTTGGTGGGGGGAACCACGTGTCGTGCTGGGGATCCAACGTTGGCTGTGTGCAAGGCAAGTGCCCTACCCACTCTAATATCCCTCCAGTCCCCCTCATGCTCCCAGAGAGAAATTTTTTACCAAAGAAGTTGGTACAACTTGTAGATGGCTTTTGGCAAAAGTTATCAAAATTGAATACACATGTACCTTTTGACCCATCTATTCCATTTGTGGATACTAAACATACACATACTCTGGTGTAGGTATCTAAAATCTTACCGAGACAGTCATCATAGTACTCATTTTAACAGTAGGATTACAAGCTTAAATAAAGTCAGATTGGCTGATTACAGTCTATTCATATGCTTAAATTGTATATGCCACTTAAACGAAATACATCTGCTCATTCTGACATAGCTGGGTTGCCAAGGTGATCTTTTAAGGTTCAGAAGAGTTATATAATATGCTCCTTTATAATACAAAGTACATAATGTATATGGAAAATTACTGAACAAAGTACATTTGAAGTTGAAAACTGGAATGAGAATCTTTATGTCGAATTACATGTGCATGTGTTTGCTTTTTTTTAAAAAAAAATAGACACATGCATATAGGAATGAATGGGGAGTAGAATGAATTCTCTTAGATCTAGTGTGGAAACAAGTACTGGGTACGTTGCTGGTTGGGTATTAAAAGTTATTTCAGTGATATGTACTGGGATAAACAGATTTAGATTGACAACTTAAAGTTAAAATATAAACCATGTGTTTGCACACATACATAAATATATAAAAGTTTGTCATGCATATGAAAGCAAAAATTGTTATTCGGCTGCTTTTAGGTTAAGACCTCATGGTTAAAAGTCAGAAAACCAGGATCGGGAGAGATAGTACAATGGGTAGGGTGCTTGCAGCCATCTTGCACACAGCCAAACCACGTTTGATCCCCGGCATTCCCAGAGAACTGCCAGGAGTAAGTCCTTAATGCAGAGCTAGAATAACCCCTAAGCAGTGCCAGGTGTGGCCCCAAAACAAAAACAATCAGAAAACCTGAGTCAGAATTTCGGAATCTCCACTTACTAGTGGTATAGCTTCGTGGTGCTAGAGACTGAACGCACAGCCTCCTCATTACACCTCAGCAGGGTTAGTAAGAAGACCCATCCCACAGTTTGTGAACTAATAAATGTGAAACTCACAGAAGAACCCTAGCTACATAAAATGCCCCTTTGGTTTTAGTTATATAATGTATATTAAGCAATACACTCCCATGTATGTGGCCTGAAACTTTTCTTATGCCAGAATGGAATTACCCTCTCCTAGGAGCTACTAAAAGTGGCAAGGATTCCCAGGCAGTAGAAAGTGGAACTATGAAGAGCCTGGAAATTAAAGAGGCAATAGATTCCTTACCCTCCAAACTGTTGACACGCTGTCTTATACTGATGCCTATTTTATCATAGAACTATTGTATTTATGATTGCCTTAGCTATTGTTCGTCTGATTGTCAGAGTCAGAAGGGAATGAACAATATAGAGCTGGAACTTCCCCAAAACTAATCAGTGTTTTCTCTTGCAGGAGGACCGACGGTGTAGGGGAAGCAATGGAGGAACTCATAGGACACAACGGACAAAAATGGGCCAGTATGAATCAAGAAGAACGAATGTTAGCAGCTGCGACAGCTTTTACCCGCATCTGTGCAGGGCAGGGTGAGGGTGATGTCCGGAGAGAAGCTCGCTCTGCCCAATATGATCCCTATAGTAAAGCTTCAGTCGCCCCAGGGAATAGACCTACACTTCCTGTGCCACCGCAATACCCGCAAGTAGGAAGTAACGTCATTCCAGAAATGGTCTCAGAGGCCTCCCAGCCACTCCGAAAGCCAGTGATGAAGAGAAAGGTGCTACGTAGGATGCCAGATGGGGAAGTTTTAGTAACAGATGAGTCAGTAATCAGTGAGTCAGAGGCTGGTACAGAAAGTGGAGGAGATCTCTGGGACTTAAGAGAAAGGCTGATGAATCTGCAGTTCCAGGAAGACAGGGAATCCTCAGTTGATGAATCAGGAACATGTGATCTATCAGACGAATACCAGGAAATCTCTCAGGATCAGCTCCTTCGCTATCTACAAAAAGGAATGGGCTCTCCTGCTTATGAACAAGACCTGATTGTTGCCAGCCGACCCAAGTCCTTTATTCTCCCCAGGCTGGATCAGCTAAGCCGAAACCGGGGCAAGGTCGACCGGGTAGCTCGGTATTTTGAGTACAAACGAGACTGGGACTCAATGAGGTTACCTGGTGAAGATCACAGAAAGGAATTACGTTGGGGGGTCCGAGAGCAAATGCTTTATCGAGAACCCCAATCCAAGCCTCAGCACATTTATGTTCCGAACAATTACCTAGTGCCAACTGAGAAGAAAAGATCTGCACTTCGCTGGGGTATTCGTTGTGACCTTGCTAATGGTATCATGCCCAGGAAGCTGCCCTTCCCTCTTTCTCCTTCCTGAGTTTTTCCTCACCTGTTTCTCCTTTTCGACAGGTCAGTTTAGGTAACCTAGTTCTCTGGATCTCACATTTTAAATAAAAACAACTTGAAAGCCTAGGGAATGGAATTGGACTTGCAGAATAAGGACTTCACCCACTGTTAGTTTTTTTTTCCCTAGTTATGTATCGCACGGGCATCAGATACCACTTGGCTGTCAAATTGCCATACTCATTAAGCAACTGCAGTAATGAGGCCCAAGGATGAAAAGCAGACTTGATTAGTAAGCAGTCAGCACTGTTGCCGTTCCATTGCCATTTTATCTCTGGCCAATGTAGTGTATGTTTAAAGTTGCTGGGTGTTTAAAGGTGCAAGTGTATCTATTAAAGGATTTTGGACATTCACGAGCTGGGCCTTATTTTTACCGAACTACAAAGTGATGATCACAGACCTGACCTATGATTTAGCTTCCAATTACATGCTCCTTCATTTTCTCACCAAATAATGAAACCAAAGGGGAAAAAGAATATCTAGGGGCAGCAGACATAAAACGGTGGCTAAGGCCCTTCGCCTTGAACCCCAGGTTGAGTCCCCAGCAACCCATATGGCACCTCAGTCACCACCAGGAGTAATCCCTGAGCAAAACAGGGCTTACTCCTCTTGTTTTTTCTGGCAGGTCCCAAAACAACCTGTGTCCTTCCCCTTTCCCACCCCGCTTCTGCCTTTTATACTGACAATCCTAAAAGGAAGGTGAGATGGTATCCTCTTGCTACTAAAGATATAAAGTAAATCCAGGTAACTTCCAATTTTCACAAGAGTAGATGCTCAGTAGTTCAATAACAGCACTGATACACACACACACACACACACACACACACACACACACACACGGCTAATAACATGTTTTATTTTGGCTTTTGAGCCACATGGGTTGTGCTCCAGGCTTACTCATGGCTTTGCACTTAGGGATCACTCATGGCAGGCTTGGGGTGCCATATGGGGTTCTGGTAAGAGAAGCCTGATTGATGTCAGCAAGACAAGCTCCCGACTGGCAGTGCTATTGCTACAGTCCTTAAAACCCTCTTCCACGGGGGGTATATGAGGATTGGGTGGCTCAAATAGAGCACAAAACTTACAAGTGCAAGGCTGTGGGTTAATCCCAAACAGTACACACCTCTACATCAGCTCCACAGCACTGGTAGGAATGAACCCTACTCCCAGAACCGGGTATGTCCCCATAAGAACAAATTAATAGCCAGGTGTAATTCCTATGCAAAAAAAAGGCCAGGAACTAAGCTTGGGTATCACAGGATGTTCTTCCACCCCGCCCTGAAAAAAAGTGGTCAAAACTGCTTGTTCCACCAAAACGCTGACTGATACCGCCTTACTATGAATCTCAGTCCAACATTGCCCAGTCTTAATGTTCTAGATCAAACCTTTATGGGTTTTTGGGGGGTTTGGGGTCAAACCCTGCAATGCTCAGAGGTTACCGCTAGCCCTGCACTAAGGAAAAAAAAAACGCTGAATATCTCCTTAATATGAAGCTCAGCTCAGTATTGCTCGAAGTCTATCGTTCTAGATCAAACTTATGGCTTCTGGGTTTGGGGCTCACACCCCGCGATGCTCAGAGGTTGCTACTTAGCTCTGCAACCCAGGCAGTGCTAGGCAGAATGCGGAATGCCAGGGATTGAACCTCAGTCGGCCCCTGGCAAGGCAAGCGCCCCGCCTGCTGTACTACTGCTCCGGCCCATCAAACCTTTAAGACATGCTGTCACCAGCGCAGACTGACCCACCAGTGGCCGACATTTCAATGTGGCTTAATATTCAGCAGCACTGGCTTGGAGGCTTGGTCTCGAGTCTGGCTCCGCGTTTTCTCCAGCCAATTTCTCACTTCTCACGGTGAAATGCAGACAATCCCACAAGGACCAGCGCTCAGTGGAGGCCTCCAAAATATCCCAAGAAGGGAATTCATGTGGACACAATGTATCGACGTTTTTGTGCGGGGTGGGGGGGGGGCGCAGCTACACCCGCGGTGTTCAGGGTTCACTCCTGCCTGCGCTCAGGGATCACACCTGCTGGGACCATATGAGATGGGGGATGGGGGATGGGGGGGGCTCGGGGTGGGAGGTGGGGTCCAACCCGAGTCAGCCGCGTGCAAGGCAAGAAGAGCCTTAACTCGCTGTACTCTCTTCGACCCCCAAATTAAAAAAAAAAAATCTCGTCCCCAACGTGTTAGGATCCTTTGGAGCAGTGGGAAGGGCAAGTTTTCTTTTAAATCAGGAGGGCTAAGTATCCGAGGCCTGAGAGACGTGTTGAAAAGTGAACCCTTGTCCAGGCAATGTGGGAAACGCCGCCAGGAGCCCTCCCACCCCACTTAGGACTAAGACCCCGACCTCTACTGGCATCGCGTTTTATGACCAAACTTCGCGGTAAGAATCGAATCAACAGAGTCCCCCCACTGCTGCGAGTTTTCGGCCAGGAGCTCCGAAAGGCACCAAGACACACAACATCAACATCATCATCATCATCATCAGCGAAGTCCTACTTCAGCCCGCCACTTGCGTTTCCGAAAAGGTGACGGTTTGGGCGGGGGGGGGGGAGGGGGTCGCTGCAGAACGAAAGAGAAAACCGTCCAACCGTTTGACCGTTTGCCCACTCCTCTTCCTAGGACCCACAAAACAAGCCTCCAGAAAGACTCCACACTTACCTTCCGGGCGTCGGACGCGCACAGCTCTCCGCGAGGCCGGAAGCGTCGCGGTGCGTCATCCGCGCGCTCCCGAGGCCTCACGGGAAATGTAGTCCATTGTGTGGGGCAATGGCGGTCTGCGAGCCCCGGCTGCGGGCTCGTCTCCCAAACGCGCGCCCGGTGTGTTTTCTAAAGCGGCCGCCAGCTCCATCGAAACAGGATCCGACGCCTGCGGTGGCGCCAGAATAAATTCTGATCTGCTCAAAACACAATAAAGGCATTTTGCCCCCCCAATGTCTGCTAGGCTCACAGGGAAACTAAGGTGAAAGAACCTTGTCCGGATGCCATACCCACTTTTTAAAAAAATTTTATTAGTAAAAAACACCATGAGGTACAGTTGTAGACTTACAAATTTTTGTGCTTGGGTTTCGGTTATACAATGATCGAGTGCCCATCCCTCCACCAGTGCCCATCCTCCACCACCACTGATCCCAGTATCCCTCCCATCCCCCCCACCCCCATCCCACCCTGCCTCTGTGGCAGGGCATTCCCTTCTGTTCCCTCACTCGAATAGAAAGGTGCCAACGAAGAGAGGAAAAGATCACAGCATTACAAATCTACGTGAAAAGACAGCAAGGCAGATCAGTGACGGCACTGAGTGGCAAGTGTTGCTTCAGCACCACGGAGAGGTCATGATTGGGCGTGAGAGAGAGACAGAGAGAGAGAGAGAGAGAGAGAGAGAGAGAGAGAGAGAGAGAGAGAGAGAAGAGAGAAGAGAGAGAAGAGAGAGGAGAGAGAGGAGAGAGAGAGAGAGAGAGAGAGAGAGAGAGAGAGAGAGAGAGAGAGAGAGAGCGCAAGCGCTGGTTCCTTTGTCCAAACTTAGCAACCAGTGGCACAGGGGATGCGCGCCGGCTCACACCCCAGTGTGGAGACTTGTACCGCATGGGAATCAGTTTCCTCAGGGCGTCTCTTCGCTGGAGGCACATCAACATGAAATGAGCGTCGCCGGGACAGGAACGCAGGAGCTTCCTGCTCGCATCCTTAGCATCCAAATTCCTCAGACAAAACGCAGTCGCTCTGGTACCCGCTTCCCTCAGACATTGAGGGGAAATGCCATATATATATATAGATCGATCAGATCAGAATTCATTCTGGCGCCGCCACAGCCGAAATTCCCCATGCCACTTTCCGGCCCTTCTTTCTGACGCTCGGGGACACAAGCGCGCTCTGGCGTTTGTGAGCGTTGGGTGGGGAGAGGGGGAAAGTGTCCACTCTCGACGCTGGGGAGAATCCTCTGGGGACTGAGCGGTGGGGCCAGAAAGAAGCGTGGGAACTGTCCCTTCAGAGAGTCCCCATCCGACGCTGGGCTCAGCCGAGGTCCCAGCAGGCGACACTTCACCTCCCGGCTGGCTCTCAACCCCGGCGAGAGCGCCCAGCGGCGCGAACCCCACACGGAGGCAGCGCGGCGCCGCCGCCCGGCCCCGCCCCCGCCGCCGCTCGGGCCCGCCCCCGGAGCCGCCCGGCCCCGCCCCCCGCCGCCCGGCCCCGCCCCCCGCCCCCGGCCCCGCCCCACTCCGCCGCCCGGCCCCGCCCCCCGCCGCCCGGCCCCGCCCCCCGCCGCCGCCCGGCCCCGCCCCCGGCGCCTGCGCACTGCGCCGGGCGCGCTGGCGGCGGCCCCAGCAGCCAGCCCATTGGCTGCCGCCGCCTCGCGCCTGGGGTGCGCGCACGTGCCGGGGGCGGGAGCGGCGAGCAGCGCGATCGCAGAGATGGCGTCGTTACTTTGGGCAGGCGACGCCGGGGCGGCGGACAGCGAGCGGCTGAACTGCCACGTAACCGCCGCCGAGCCGGGGGGCGGCAGAGCGGGGGCCGGAGCCGCAGTTTCGGGGGGCGGGCGGGACCTCAAGGGCCGGGGAGGGGAGGGGAGGGGGGGGAGACGGGGCGAGCGGCTGGAGCGGGCCCCGGCGGGGAGACCCCCCACCCCGCCCCCACCCGCCAGACGGGGCCGGGCCTGGGTCCGAGGGGACCGGGTGGAGTCACCCGCGGGGTCGAGTGGGGAAAGCAGCCGGGGGCTGTTCCCACGGAGACCCTCGCTTTCCTCCCCCGCCTAAGTTCGTCTCCCCCCAGACCGACCCCCTCCGTGTCCCCGCCACAGGGGCGCCCTCCCCCTCCCCCCCCCCCGCCCCCCTTTAGCCCGGAGACCTTCTCGGGAGCAGCTTCACCTGCACCGGGGGCCGCGGAAGAGGGGGGGTCGTCCGGTGTGAGGCCGATTTCTGAACTGCATCCTTCCGTGGTCACCTTGGCCACGGGAAGAGCGTTTTCCGGGGGGTCTTCCCCACCCCCCACCCCGGCCCCCGTGAGGGGCGCGTCGGGCAACGCGTTGTTGGTCGCTTGCTCCCTCCCTAACGCTGGTTGTTGCGATTTGTGTCTCTCCGTAGTTTTCAAACCTCATCCACCCCCGGAAGAACCTTCCGGGCCTTAAGAGCACGACGATCCCAAGCGTTGGTGAGTGCTGCTGGTAGGGCAAAGGCGAGTTCGCCGGGGGCCCAGTTCCAGAAGCGTCCAAAAGCGTTCGCCGGGGCCCCCGGCCGTCCAGCTGCCTCTCCCTTGCCTGCCTTTCTCGCCCGGCCCCCTCCCCGGCCTCCCCCATCCTCTTGCCCCGCTCCCCCCGCCCCCCTCAGCGCGGACTATGAAGTTCAGGTGAAAGATGCGCCGCCTGCCTGCTGCTGCTTGTGGTCCTTACCGTTTCCCTCTTTCCTTGCATCCTTTCTTCAGAGGATTCCGTTAATAATGTCGAAGAGGAGGAAGATGATGATGTAGGTAGGCCATCGCTCGCTTTGTCTCGGCTGGCATTCTTTTCTTTTTTTCTTTTTTTTTGGATTTTTTTTTTAATTAAAAGTTTTTTTTTTAATAGTGAGACGCCATGAGGTACAGTTGCAGACTTACACATTTTGGTGCTTGGGTTTCAATTATGCAGTGATCAAACACCCATCCCTCCACCGGTGCCCATTTCCCACCACCACGGATCCCAGTATCCCTCTCACCCCCCCCCATCCCACCCCCATCCCACTCTGTCTCTGTGGCAGGGCATTCCCTTTTGTTCTCTCTCTCCTTTTGGGTGTTGTGGTTTGCAAAAGAAGCATTGAGCGGCGATCATGTTTGGTCTATATCGACTAGCATTCTTTTCTCGATGCGAGCGAATTGTCATTGGGAAAGGACGGTCTTTGCTTCTGTTTTCTTTTTTTTTTTAAATAGACACGCGAAGAAATCCTCTATCAGGGGTGGGTGGTGGTCTTTTACCAGTGTTCAGTGGGATGGCTTAGGAACGTTCACCTGGCAAGTAGAATTAGTTCTGGTGTATCTGTATCGCAAGCCATAATACCCAAAAGAAAGGAGGGAGGGAGGAAGAGTGGGAGAGAGGGAGGCAGGGAGGAGGAAGAGAGAGAGGGAGGGAGGAGAGAGAAGTGCCTGACAGGGTAGGGGTGGGTGGGAAGGAAACGGGGGACATGGTGGGGCATGTACACTAGTGAAGGGATGGGTGTTGGAACATGGTATGACTGAAACCCAAACCCAGTCATGAACAACTTTGTAACTATAGCTCAAGGTGATTTCAATTAAAAAAAGAAAGAAAAAGAAAAAAAAGGAAAAATAGACCTGGTGACAATGGCTGGGCTTGCCTTGATGTTAGAAGTGGTTGTACCGGGGCTGGAGCAATAGCACAGCGGGTAGGGCGTTTGCCTTGCACGCAGCCAACATGACCAACACAGGTTCAATTCCCAGCACCCCATATGGTCCCCTGAGCACCGCCAGGGGCAATTCCTGAGTGCATGAGCCAGGAGTAACCCCTGAGCATCGCCGGGTGTGACCCAAAAAGCAAAAAAAAAAAAAAAAAAAAAAAAAAAAAAAAAAAAAAAAAAAAAAAAAACCAAAAAGAAGTGGTTGTACCGTAGGACACAAGAAACTGGGTCTTTCTGAAAAACGAATTCTCAGTGCTATGTCATTCTTTCTAGAACCTCTTAGGAGATGAGTGTAGAGGAATTGCCGAATATACAACTACTTCTTGAGAGGGAACAATTTATCCATGCCCTTCGGGAATATTCCTTTTTATTCTTTCTTCTGTAGTGGACTTGGCAGCTAATTCACTCTTGAACAAGTTAATCCGGCAGTCCCTAGTAGAATCCAGTCACCGAGTCGAAGTCTTACAAAAGGATCCCAGCTCCCCACTCTACTCAGTGAAAACATTTGAAGAGCTTCGACTGTGAGTATTTTTACTTTGAGTCTGGGGGGAAATGACGGGAAGCACAACGCAGGACAAACTGGTCTTCCAGTAATAAGAAGCAGAAGATTCTCTTTCATGTCCTAGTTTTCAGAATTAAAATGAGATATGCGCGCTTTACATACGATTACAGCTCAGAGAGGACGCTAAGACACTTGAGAATTCCAACATGTAGCGAACATTTAGCATGATAAATATTTTAAGCTTACTACGTTAAGAGGAATAGCCAAGATACTGACATTATTACCATGCTCCATACGGAATTCAGATCCAAAGCTTACATGACCTAAATACTAACCACCCCATCTGCTTGAGATGTTACAAGCATTCGCTTTCCTATGTGTCTTTCATTTCAAACGAAATTAAAATGCGTCATTTTCCCAAATAGGTCTTCATTTTCTAGGGGCTTGTCAGTTACCTTAAAGGAAATGTATTCTAATAGGGAGAGTTGCTCATATGAACTTAGGCAAAGGGAAAATTCAAAATTCTGCTGTTAGACATTTTCTAAGTGGAAGGAGAAGCCTGCTTGATTAAGAGTTGACAGGGGCTGAGATGTGGCTTAGTGTAGAGTGTCAGGCCCTACATTTGATCTCTATCACTACCAAAAGCACAGTTGGCTTCCAGTAGCCTAGAAATGAATCTATCAATTAAGCTCATTCATAATGTGCGTACCATTAAAGATGGGAAGTACTTCATGTTCCCTTACTCTCTCCACTTTCTGCCATCAAGCATGAGATCCAGAGAGAATGTAGCACCGTCCTCCCTTTGTTCATTGATTTGCTCGAGTGAGCACCAGGAATGTCTCCATTGTGAGACTTATTGTTACTGTTTTTGGCATATTGAAGATGCCACGGGGAGCTTTCCCCAGGCTCTCCCGTGTGGGTGGGATACTCTCGGTAGCTTGCTGGTCTCTCCGAGAGGGATGGAGAAATCGAACCTGGGTTGGCCACGTGCAAGGCAAACGAGGTAACACTGTATTCTGCTTCTAGAATTATTAGAAGGATCATCTGAAGAAAATCTCACTTAGGGGCTGGAGCAATACTAAAGTGGGTAGGGTGTTCACCTTGCACTCGGCTCACCCGGGTTTGATCCCTGACATCCCATTTGATTCCCCGAGCACTGCCAGGAGTTCTGAGTTCAGAGCAAAGTGTAACCCCTGAGCATCGCTGGGTGTGTCGCATAAGAAAAAAAAACAAAAAAGAAAATCTCATTTAGTTCTCTAAGTGGGAAATAAAACTTTTCTGGCAAACACACATTTATCGGATATATTTCCCCCCTTTTGCTTGATTCAGCAGAAAGGTAACTGTTGTTTTTAGCCTAGAAATGTAGCATAGCTCATTACTACAATGGTCCACCTATGCCTGCATTATTGTATATGTTTGGGGGATTATTGTCTATAGTTTAGAATAAGCTATATTTCTACATGTTGCTCTTTGGAGGCCTCCAAAACAGAGCTCAGTGGGCCCAGGGGTCACTTGGGGAGTTCAGCGCTCGGGCTAGAGATCCTGGGGACATCATGCCCTGCTCAGTGGGGCTTGACCAGTGATGTTTGCTGGTCAAGCAGTATTGGGGATCAAACTTGTGTCCTTGGGCATTGGAAGACCGATATCCCTGACACCTGAGCATCTCCGCAGCCCCTAGTACTACTTTTGAAGCTCAGTCGCACAGTGTCTTAATTTTGAAATGTACTTTAAAGTTTGTATTTCTGAGACTAGTGACCAGTCGTAGGCTTTAAGTGTTTGGTTTGGTTTTGTTTGACAGAAAGGAAGAGTTGCTAAAAGGGATCTATGCAATGGGATTTAACAGACCGTCCAAAATCCAAGAGATGGCACTGCCTATGATGCTAGCACATCCGTGAGTTTCCAGGGCAGCCCTACTCCAGCGTGGTTTGAAATTTCAGTCTCTTGGATTCGGTTTATACCCAGTGGCACCCTCTTCTCTGCAGCCCCCAGAACCTCATAGCCCAGAGCCAGTCTGGAACAGGAAAAACAGCTGCATTTGTCCTGGCCATGTTAAGCAGAGTTAATGCCTTGGAATTGTTCCCACAGGTAAGAGGGGTGGGCATGCTTATAATGCAGATGCTGTTTTTGTCATGAGTGATATTGTTGCATGGTGTTATCACTATGCTGAGTGATACTGTGGTATGATAATGTGGTACTTAGATCGTAAAATCACAGGGCAGAAGTATGGGACAGTGATCAAGAGCACAGGCTTCAAAGTTTAATTAGTTCCAGCCTCAGGTTTTCTACTTAACTCACTGACTTTCATAGGCAAGTTAGTTTTTTTGTTGTGTTTTGTTTTGGCCACATCCAGCTGTGCCCAGAGCTTACCCCTGGCCCTATGCTCAGGAGTCACTCCTGGCAGTGCTCAGGAGACCGTGTGGGATGCCAGGGATCGAACTCAGTTGGGCCACCTGCAGGGCAAGCACCTACACAGTGTCCCATCTCTGCAACCCATGTTAGTAAGTCTTTGCAAGTCTGTATCTTATTCTATAAAGAGAGCGTCTATAAAGACAGAGGCCATAGTCGTTCTGTTCACCCTTGATTCTTAACACTTAAAACAGAGTGCAGAGGGGCCAGATAGTATAGCAGGTAGGGCATTTGCCTTGCATGTGGATCACCCAGGTTCAATTCCCAGCACCCCATATGGTCCCCCAAGCCCATCCTGAGCGAACCCTGAACACAGAGCAAGGAGTAAGCCTTGGGTACCACTGGGTGTGACCCCAAAACCAAAACAAAACAAAAACCACCAGTGCCTGACTTATAAGCTCCAGTCGTTAAACACTGAGTGAATGAATAAATACTTGCTTCAAAGGATTGCCATGCAGATGAAATGTGTGTTTTTGGCACTGTGCTTGGCATAAAGTAAGCGTTTAATAACGATAGCAATTAAAATAGCCGTAGGACTAACAGAGCTTATAACCCCCTCCACTCTTTTAGCAAAAGAGAGAACTGAGACGTGGAGAGGAACATGGCTACTATATGGTCATGAAAATCAGAGGTAGCTTGTTACTCTAGTCCAGCTTCCTCTCGGGGACAGTATCTGGTCATCTTCTCTCCTCCAAATTGTCTTCTCCAACTCTTTTGACAAGCTGGGAGCCTGAGTATTGACTGCACCCCAGGGTGTACCCCACTCTATGGAAGACAAGGGTTCTATTCTCTCTGGAAGTGTACAGTCAAATAAAAAGTCAAAGAAAGACCAGCCATGGATACCAGTGAAATTTTAGGCTTTCTAAAGACAAGTTCACTGGCATTTTTATGGCTTTACTGGTAGGAGTGAAAATTCTTCAGGAAGCGCTGTCTTTGAACCCTGGGTGAGACATGTGGGAGAACAATTTGAACACTTTCCCCCAGCACAGTTGAAGCCTGTAACGGTATTAACATCCCCAATTTCTTCCAGCAGTGTCTTCATTCATCAACATTATTTGTGGGGGAGGGGGTAGGAGGTGAAAGAATTTGGTGGTTTGTTTTTTTCTGTCAGAGGTTTCTAAAATAGGTTTGGATCAAACAGGGAATATTCTTACCTAGACTTGCAGGCAAGAGGTGTGGGGGATTGCACTCAAGCTGCGATTTATCTTGTCTTCACCTGATTTCCCAGCCTTCCTGTATTCCTTCCCCTGCTGAAAAAGCAGAACCTGCAACCTGCATTTCTGCATAACCCTTTCGAGATGAATGTATAACAGTTACTCATGACTTATTATTCACCTTAGATTTATCAGCTGCTAAATTTTGTTTCACTTAAATAAAATCAGACCAGGGACCAGGGCTTGTCTCAGCTGTGGAGTATAAACCTCTTATGCATGTAAGCCTCTGATTTCAATAGAACAATAAGTAAATCTACACAACCAAAATCTCCAGTTTCGTATCTGCGCTTCTCCCTGTTCAAAATCGAATTGCATTTCAAGTTTCAGTGCTGACTCTTAAGACCTTTCTCTTCCTTGCTGATTATCCACCGTGTCTTCACAGTGCCTCTGCCTGGCTCCTACTTACGAATTGGCTCTGCAAACTGGCCGTGTGGTTGAGCAGATGGGAAAGTTCTGTGTGGACGTTCAAGTGATGTATGCCATTCGAGGAAACCGAAGTATGTACCAGTAAGCCAGCCCTGGCTGTTTTTATCCTGACTTCACCACCACCAAGCATGTAATATAACTTCTCTAAAATAGGAAGTAGAATAATGTCATATTAATAGTGTTGTTATTAGAATTAAATGAATTGGTAAAGGTCTGTGTTCAGTGCTTCACACGTACGAGGACCCAGTTAATGTCTGCATCGTGTCCACATTCTGCAAGAGGATGGTGCTATAGATTCTTCTCTTTGAAGTGCAGTTTATATTGTTTTAACATGTATAGCAAAAGTTTATTTTAGAGGGATAGCAAAACAAAAGAAAAAACTTGAAAACACAGATTAGAAGTACAAGTAAAAGTTGTTTTTCCTGTCCTCCAAACCTTTTTGAGGAAGGATGGAACCCAGAGCCTCATACATGCAAGGCATGAACTCTACTGCAGAGCTGTATTCCCAGAGTATAAATACTTAATTTTTGTTTTGTTTAAGGACCACACACCGTGGTGCTCAGGGCTTACTCCTGACTCTATGCTCAGGAGACCTAAAGGGTGCTGGGTATCGAACCCAGATTGGCTGTGTTTAAGACAAATGCTCTGCCCATTGTACTGTCGCTCCACCTTCCAAATATCTATTATTTTAAAAAGATACTTTCATTAACAACGTTGGTGCTTTTTTTTGTTTGTTTAAACTCATACAAATGCACATAGAGGTATCTGATTTGTTTGTTTATTGAAGTGAGAACATTTTTCCCCATACTGTTCAAAAATGAGTTTTAGGGGATTGTTATACACTGATACTTACAGCTTACCCACGTCTTTCTTTTGACTAGTTGCATTATAGTTCATAATTTAAGTACTGGTAGATGTTTCAGTGGTTTTACATTGGGAGGGGAAAAAATCATGTAGGTTTCTCACAGCTATGCCAGTATTTCACTGGATAGAAAGGCTTCTGCAAGGCAACTTTTGGGTTGATAGAGGACACCCCCAGTGATACTCCTGTGCCTCCTGGCTGTGCAGGTTCAGTGCTCAGACCCAAGAAGCGCCCATGCAGTGTTGAGGATTGAAGCAGGGGCCTCTTGCATGCAGAATATGTACTTTCACTAGCTCCCTGCCCCCAAGGTAGCTTTTCCATATGTGGGGAAGAACCAAACATGCAGGACTGTTGTCATAACCAGGCACTAGAAACTATAACTCTGCAAAATACAACTATAAATCCACAATGACCTTCAGGGAGAATCACTTGGAGAATCACTACAAAATGTATTTGATCTATTTTGGAACCTGTCTCATTGTCTCATTGCCCAGAACTGCGGACTGTTAGAGGCAACTAAGGAATCCTTTAAACCCTTCTCTCCCCAGTTCTCAGAGGCACTGACATCACCAAACAGATCATAATAGGCACTCCTGGTACAGTTCTAGATTGGTGTTTCAAGCGAAAATTAATTGACTTGACTAAGATTCGTGTGTTTGTCCTGGATGAAGCAGATGTGATGATTGACACGCAAGGTTTCTCCGATCAAAGCATTCGAATTCAAAGGTGATCTTTATGTTCTTCTGCGTCTTTAACCTAGATAAGAAATTTTGTCTTGTCTGCTACTCCTGGTTGTCTTTATTGCTCGTTCTCCAGCTCGTTCACCTTCAAAATGAGTCTGGGTTTTCATTCTTTTCACTGTAGCTCAGTGGGCCTTTTTCCCACTTCCCCAAGTTTTTTTTTTATGCTACTTTGCTTTTATTGAAAATTGTATATTATAGAATTTTGTTACCATAATCTTGTACACAAGAAGTTTCAGCGACATCGGGCTGGAGCCATAGCACAGCGGGTAGGGTGTTTGCCTTCATGAGGCCAACCCGGGTTCGATTCTCAGCATCCCATATGGTCCCCTAAGCACTGACAGGAGTGATTCCTGAGTGCAGAGCCAGGAGTAACCCCTGTGCATCGCCAGGTGTGACCCAAAAAGAAGAAAAAAAGACGTTTCAGTAACAAGACGAAGTTAAAGGTGTATGTTTGTTAAGAACAGTATAGTATACCAAGTGTTTTCATACATGTGTTTTTGAAAAGCGATGGTCTTTTGTGCTTTGCTTCCTTTTTCTGTACCTCCACATATAAACAACAAAACTGTTACTCCTTGTATAATTCAGACGGGCTGGAGCAATAGCACAGCGGGTATGGCATTTGCTTTGCACGTGGCCAACCCGGGTTTGATTCCTCTGCCCTTCTCGGAGAGCCTGGCAAGCTACCGAGAGTATCTTTCCCGCACGGCAAAGCCTGGCAAGCTACCTGTGATGTATTCGATATGCTAAAAACAGTAACAAGTCTCACAATTTGTTGTGAGACGTTACTGGTGCCTGCTCGAGCAAATTGATGAACAGTGGGAGGACAGTGCTACAATGCAATGCTATAATTCAGACAAGAGGAGAAATATTTAGACATTTTAGCATATCCCATTATTTGTAAACTGACATTTTGGTTTATAAACTTTGGAGTTTTCAAGCACCTGATTTTTAACTGAAAACTATAAAAAGGCTATCTGAGCTTTCTGTTAGGAAAACATGCTGAGAAAATGCCATATGCATGAATGTGTGGTGTTTTTCCATCAAGTATGCTTTGTGACTATCATGCTATGCTTAGACCTGCCTGTTAGTAAGTATTCCTGCCCATCCTCAAGGTCTGAAAAACATGCTGCAAAGAGACAATCTCGGGGATGAGAGATTTTGAGTCTTAAAATCCACTATGGCACTTTCCTGAGTTTCATACACAGTTTCCTTCAACTTGTAATCTTGCCTGTTTTCCTTTGGGAGTATAGTATTATTGGTCAGATCTGTAGACTGCTTCTGCATTTAATGTTGCCAATAATTTCTATATATTTGAAGCAGTATTCTAAAGAAGATCAGTTAAAACCCAATCGGACTCTTGTACTAACACAGAGGATAATTGGCAGTCCTGAGGTGGGGAGTTTGATGGCGGGGAGTTCGCTGGCTGATGGCCTCATCCCCTCCCCACCAGGGCCCTGCCCTCTGCATGCCAGATGCTTCTCTTCTCTGCAACCTTCGAGGACTCAGTGTGGCAGTTTGCAGAGCGCATCATTCCTGACCCCAACGTTATTAAGTTGAGAAAAGAGGAATTGACGCTGAACAATATCCGACAGTATTACGTGCTGTGTGAGAACAGGAAAGACAAGTACCAGGCTCTGTGCAACATCTACGGCGGCATCACCATTGGTCAGGCCATCATCTTCTGCCAGGTGCCCAGCCTCCCCTTGGGCAGGTGGATGGATGGGCGGGGCCCCATCTGCACTTCCTATATGTTTGATCATTGAACTTTCAACTCAGCTCTCAATACACCTAAGTTCAAAATGATGTGCGTCATGGGTGAAGCTTAAGAAAGGTTAAGTGATGGACTGGCATTGCAGCAGATGATAGTGATGGACTGGCATTGCAGCAGATGATGCACGGGTATCCTGCCCACACTTTCACGTTTGGGTTGTGTAGAGGGTCCTGAAAGATGCTCTTTATCAGCTTGAGATGCTTGCAGTGTGCAAAATCATTACCCAGTTATTCACTTTTAATTTCTCACATAATTTCACCTTACTTTACATATTTTATTATTTTGCTGACAGTTTTCATACCTCCCTGCCCAGGCACTGAGAATGTAATTGTAGGATAAAAGAAAGCTCATCTCTGCCCTGGTTTAGTCATGTGACTTCAGACATATTACTTACATCTTTAAGTTTGAGGGTGATGCTGAGGATGAACCCTGGTCTCACACTTTTTTGGTTTTTTGGTTTTTTTGTTTGTTTTTTTTGTTGTTGTTGTTGTTTGGTTTTGGGCAACACCTGGCAGTGCTCAGGATTTACTCCTGGCTTTTTGCTCAGAAGTCACTCCTGGTAGGGCTCAGGGGACCTTATGGGGTCTTGGGAATTGAACCTGGGTCGGCTGTGTGCAATGGAAATGCCCCTACCTCACACCTGAAGGGAAAAAAATGGGGTTGTTTGGACCATACCTGGCAGTGCTCAGGGCTTATTCCTGACTGTGAGCCCAGGGATCACCCCAGTGGGGTCTACTGGGTCAGCTGCATGCAGGCAAGTGCCTTAACCCCGGTCACACTTCTCCTGCTTTTTCAAGTTGAAATGAGGTCACTCTGCTCCACCAAATGACTGCAGTGCTCATATTTGCAGAGTCCGCCATCCAGGAGCACGCAGTGCCTTCGGTTCTCTTCTTTCCACCCTGTTGGCCACCACCTGGGAAGTGAGCGGAGTGTTCTGCCTCTGTCTCCTGGCAGAGAGGCCAGAGCCCTGGCGGGTTGAGAGGACATGACCCTCAGAAACTCAGGGGTAGTGAGAGCTCTGTGCCAGGGTCTGAGGTTCCACCAGAGCGGAGAGGTGGTCCAAGACGGCTCTGCCGCTTTCCCAGCTCCCCACCTGCCCACACAGCCACTTGGCTTGAACACGGTCCACTGTGTATTCTTTGTCTCTCCCATACAGACACGTCGGAATGCCAAGTGGCTGACCGTGGAGATGATGCAGGATGGCCACCAAGTGTCCTTGTTAAGCGGAGAGCTGACGGTGGATCAGCGAGCATCCATCATCCAGCGATTTCGGGATGGGAAAGAAAAAGTTCTTATAACGACCAATGTCTGCGCTCGAGGTGTGTGTGTGTGTGTGTGTGTGTGTGTGTGTGTATGGAGGGATGTGGTACACCTTTGATGTACAGTTTACACACACAGCTCACAGTTCCACTCTTTACACATACAGTTCAGCAATTTATAACAAACACACATAGCCACATAGCTTTCATAGCCCGGACAGAACCTTCCCATCTCCCATCTTTGTCTTTCCAGCCTTCCTTATGCTCGCTAAGTCTCTTCTTTATCACCTAACCCCTGGAATGGCCCGCCATTCTCTGTAATCTTGTCTCTTCCAGAATGGCATCTCAATCGAATCAGATAGTGGGTAGCCTCAATCTTCTTCCCACCCTGCTTGCCACGATGCTTTAGAATTTGTCAGTGTTTGTCCACATATTCATGCGTTCCTGCTCTTATCCCTATCGTATCCCATTGACTCTGTCTCACAATTGGTTCTTCAGTTAGCCAGTATCTAGGCACCTGCACCGTTCACAGTTTGGCGCTGTTTTGGATAAATTGTAGCAAAGTGTAGTTCTTGTGTAGACACATTTTCATCCTTCAGGACTTCTGGGCCATATGCTAAGTGTATGTTTATAAGAAACTACAAAACTGTTTCCAAAGTAACCGTTTCATTTTTATTTCCACCACCATGTGTGAGGGCTCCCATTGCTGTGTTGTTGCCAGCCATGGGTATTATTATTCTTTTTCTGTTTTAACCATCCTATTAGTCGCATGTGGTCGCTCATGTTTGCAACGTGTGTTCTTTGATGGCTGACCTCATATCCGGGGCGTTTTTAATTTTAAAAAGTTTCACTAGGAGAGGAGAGACTCTTGTTTTCCCGAGAGAAGGGCCTTCCCCCTTTGCTCCTACCTCCTAGGTCCTTACTAAGGCCCCACTCTCCAGCCATGATGGCCGAGTCATTCTCTGTCCTATAACTGAGCACCCTCCTGGATGCTGCTCTCGGCACTGGGGCAGAGGGGCCTGGAATGGGATGGGATTGCCCTGCCCCTCTGGGTCTGCTGCCTGGGCTCCCGATGTTCTAGACCAGCATTAGCCACTCGGACCTTCTGCGCTAATGGGAGCATTCTGCTCTCTGCTGTCCAGCCTTTGGCCTTAGATGGCTAGTAAACACGAGGTATGGTTATTGTGATTGTAAACTGAGTCTTGTTGGGTTTTGTTGTTTTGGACCCGGCTGTGCTCAGGGCTTACTCTTGGCTCTGTGCTCAGGAATCACTTCTGGTGGTGCTCAGGAGACCGTATACAGTGCCAGAGATCGAACTGGGGTCAAATGCGTGCAAGGCAATGGCTTTAGCACCTCTGCTAGCTCTCTGACCCAAGGAGCCGAGTTTATTTGAATTACCTTAGACATTGATCGATACGGTAACTGTGAGCTTTGGTTACCTCCTGGTAGGTGACATGAGTGCCTGGAGGAAAGAGGGCGCACAGAGTTTCCGGCACTGAGCACGGTGCAGGGAGCCGCAAGAATTGTTGCCTGCAGAGCTTCTTGGCGTCAGGGCCAGAGGCTCCAGGCACATCGCAGAAGGTCTCCCTAAGAAGCATTCGATGGGAAAGGTTTAGAAGTGAATACAGCAACTCAGTTTGATACCAGTTCTTAGTTTTGCTGGGAAATGGCAAGACTGTGTGACGGTAGCATTGGTCGGTGAGTCGAGGGGGAAGCGATGTGACGCTAGTGGTTGGGAAGTCTTGAAGTTTTTAGCTTCTCTGAACACGGTCTCCCCCCGCCACACACTCACACAGACACACACACATACACACACACACACACTTTGTGTGTACCTAGACTCCTCTGCAAGCAGCAACTGTGGACTCTCACCCAGTATCAGACACACTCTGTAAGCACACCGGTGCCAGTTTGACATCAAGCCTGGTGTGGTTCATGAATCGTGTCCATTAGTGGGAATGACATTGGCACACGAGAGCGTCTCCTGGCAGGGAGCGCAGCGGGTCCCTTCAGTGTCTTCTCTCTTCCAGGGATTGACGTGAAGCAGGTCACGATCGTTGTGAACTTCGATCTCCCTGTAAACCAATCAAAAGGGCCGGACTACGAGACGTACCTTCACCGCATTGGGCGGACTGGACGCTTTGGGAAAAAAGGCCTGGCCTTCAACATGATTGAAGTGGACAAGCTGCCTCTGCTGATGAAGATCCAGGATCACTTCAGTAAGTAGCTGTGCTTTGGCCGCCGGGGCTGGGGTCTCTGGTGCTGGCAGTGACAGCGAGTGTAGGCCTCCAGCCCTGAGGCCAGGGTCCCTCCTAGTTGGCTGAGGAATCCCTATATGATCGCTGCAGAGAAGTGAGCAGATGCAGGGGTGGAGCCCAGCCTTGTATGATACTGTGCATCCTGAGGTCTGAAACAGATGTTCATATCCTATAAATCAGAACTTCCCTAAGGGAAGCAGTAAAGCCCCATAAGGTCCCATGCTCTGCCTCCTCCTTTCCCCCCACTGCTGTCAAGGCGAGTCTGACTGTCCCCCTTCCTCTGGCCCCATCCACACAGGGCGGGCTCTGTAGACCTGCTCATGCATGTGGAGCCGGCTGGAAAGTGAAGGGCACCTCGTTGCCCCCCAGGGCCCCTGGGTGTGGCGGGGGGTGGTTAGAGAAAGACAGACACTTACTAAGTGACCTGTCTGCCACCTCTTGGAGCTGTCCCACTCAGCTCAGGTGTGCGATGTACAATGCTCGCACTGACCGTGGCTCCCCAAGGACCCTTCAGGGCAGCGGATTAAGCATCCTGGTAAGCATCAAGTAAAGCATCAAGTAACTGCAGGCTGGGCCAGGGCAGCAGGTGGAGAAAGGACCATCTGACCCGCTGTGCTCCAGTCAGTTCCTGCTGCCTTCAGAACTGACCCTCTTCCACTGCCAGGCAGCACCCCCCCCCCCCATACACACACATACATATCTACTTCCTTCCTCCTGCACTGAGCTCCTCCTTTCAGGCTTGACTTGCTTGCAGCCCATCTTTGCGTCTGCCCAAGGTATCTAGACACGTGCCTTTCATTCCCTGGCATCCTAGTGCTGATTCCTTCACATCTGTCAGCTGGCCTGATGCCATCCCTTCCCCATCTAGTCTGGGAGAGAGAGAGGTTGAGGCTTTCTGCAGGTGGTTCACCATTTTTGGACGTTCTGTGTTGGGTGGGATGAAATTCCGTTCAGGCCCTTCAGTCAGATGTCTCCATTCTCTTCTCTTGCAGACAGCAACATCAAGCAGCTTGACCCTGAAGACATGGATGAGATTGAAAAGATTGAATATTGAAGAAAGAACTTTATTGTTTGTGAAATATCCTGGTTTATGTGAGACAGTCCCAATGGGTTTTGAAGGTAATTTTTTATGTTGAGCCTTTTTTCAGTGTGAAACTGTTACAGATGGCAGAATAAATGTCGTGGTATCCTTTGTTTTAAGACCTGAGGTCTTTTTGAAACCAAATTGCTGTGTAAAGCACATGATCCCTTTGAATAAAAAAGCAAAATCATTGCCTCTTCTGCTCTTTCTTACAGAGGCATACCTCGTGGTGGTGGTGGGCAGGGAGAATGGCAGGGTCGGGGTCGGACAGACCCAGGCGCACTTGGTCCCTCTGAGAGAGCACAGCCGCCCCAGTCCTGGGTGAGCAGCGGAGGGCGCCAGAAGATGGCGCTAGAGCTTCGCGGTTTGGGGGATTGGAGGGTTTCTGGTTCTTTCTCCCGTCCCCTCCCCCATGCACATCAGCTTTTACATATGCATTGCTGCGGGGAGAACCTGGAGTGGAACCTTATAAAATGAAAGTTTGGAAGAGAACATTTTGTTCTTCTCACGACAATGGATATTCAGCGTATCAGTGTACATTTTTCTTTGGCTCCTTAACATCGTCACGTTACAGAAGATTTAATTCCCTTGGTCACTTTAGTAATCTGAAAATGTGGGTCTATTTAAGCATTTCTATTTTTGTTTGTTTTATTTGGGGGCCACATCCGGCAGTGCTCAGGGGTTACTCCTGGCTCTGCACTCAGGAATGACTCCTGGCTGTGCCCAGGGGACCATATGGGATGCCAGGGATTGAACTCGGGTCACCCATGTTCCAGGCAAGCACCCTACCCACTGCCCACTGTGCTAGCCCTCCAGACCCTATTTAAGCATTTCTTAAAAAGCAGAGGAGGAGTGCTCTGGTCCTGTGAAAACAACACTGAGAAAGCCAAAAGCTTTGGCCTTTAAGAACTGAGAAGTTGTATCTGAATCAGCCACGTCCCACTGAGACGCTGTCTCACAGGGCCTGCTAGGAAGGGAGTGGCGAGCTTGAGAAGCAGCTGTGGGAGGGGGTGGATAGTCTACCAGAAAGCTTGGCGCTTTTGCAGCTCCAGCAGGCTCTCGGCTCTGTGTATGCAGTCAGGTTCTGCCATAGCCGTGGGTAGTGTGGGGCATGGTACCTCCTGCTGTGTTTTCTCTCCCCTGAGAACTGGGTGCAAACCTCCACGGCATGTCCAGCTTCCTGCTGGCCCCGAGAGATGTCTGCAGCTGTCACGCTGAACCCTGGAACAGACCCCTGAGAACTCAGAACTCACAGCAGATGCCAAGTCAGCTGCCTTGGAGGAGACAAACGGAAGGTGCACAGAGGAGATGCCCCAACAACTAGCAGCCTCGTATGGAAGACACACCAGGGTACAAGAGAAAAGGAAGTGAATGATGGCCTCCGCGCTGGCGGCCTGGCTCCAGATCCCACACCTCAGAACTAACTGGAGAACTTAAAACACCAACCCAGGTTCCTCAAAAATAGGATACAACAAAACTGCCTCAGAGCGCGCAGAAATAGATGCTCAGATAAGGGGCTGAAGGCATGGGGGAAAGCACCAGCTGAGCCACAGAGGAGACGCTGTGGCAGGAGGAAACCCTGAGAAAAGTGTGGAGTGTCCTCCCCATCCCGCCGCCCTCCCCCCCCCCCCACACACACACACTCCTGCTACCACGTCTGCCTCCCTCTCTGGGTCACCATCACTTGTGACATCCCTTCCTGACAACTCAGTCCCCATAACGCCTGCCCAACATGTAAGAGGTGCTCAGTGCCTATTTGCTTTTGTCGAATAAATACTCTGCTGCTTTATCCACTGACGTTTCCCCCTGCTTTTTCCTATCCTGATTTATTTTATTTTTAATTTTAGTTCTTGGGTCACATCTGGTGATGCTCAGGTGCTCAGGGGTTATTTCTGGCTCTGCACTCAGGAATTGCTCGTGATGGTGCTCAAGGGACCATACGGGATGCCAAGGATTGAACACCAGGTTGCCCTTGTGCAAGGCAAGCATCCTACCCACTGTACTATCACTCCAGTCCCAGCAGGAATTTTGCTAGAGTGGGCACCAGTAACATCTCCATTCGTCCCTGTCGCATGCTAGTGTAGCCCAGTGGTGTCTGCTCGCTCCAGGAACACGAAGTGAGACTTGTTACTGTTTTTGGCATATCGAATATGCCACAGGGAGCTTGCCAGGCTCTGCCGTGCGGATGGGATACTCGGTAACTTTCTGGGCTGTTCGAGATGGATGGAGAATCGAACCTGGGTTGACTGCGTGCAAAGCAAATGCCCTACCCGCTGTGCTATTGCTCCAGCCATTATATATGTATATATACACACGTATATACATATATTTATATACATGTACATATGTATGTACATTATTTTCCCTTTTTAAACATTCTGTTTGTGGTGCCAGGGATCAAACCCAGAGCCTCATCCAAGCAAAGCAGGTGTTCTCCCACTGAGTCCATCCCAGACCCTCCTTCTCCTTCCGATCCCCAGTGAAATGCCTGGCTGTGTACGCATCAAAGTCATCTCAAGACACTTCATTCTCTGCCCCGGCTCGATTATTGACTTAGACTTTCCATCCTACTCATCGCAACATCAGGCTGTCCTAAATAGATGGTCACTGCTCCCCTTTCCAGTTCAGGCCTCCCTTAGACTCTCCACTGACCGCCACCAAAGCTTGCCATGATTTCAATCTGGCAACTGTTCCCACGGGATCTGCTAAGAGCGGTCATCCCTCTGCCTGCCCCTTTGCCATTGTCCTCATGTCCCTTTGTCTGGCCCTGTAGGATGCAGTGAAGCCATCCTGTGTGGTGTGCCCAGCTGTCCCAGCCTGGCAAGTCAACAGTCCTGAGACTCTTGCAGGGTGCAGTTCCTTATCAGCACTGCAAGCCATGTGCACGTTTACCAGGCCCGGCCCAGGTCACTGTAGCACTGTCCTCCCATTGTTCATCGATTTGCTCGAGCGGGCATGTCTCCATTGTGAGACTTGTTACTGTTTTTGGCATATCGAATACGCCACGGGGAGCTTGCCAGGCTCTGCCGTGTGGGCGGGATGCTCTCTGTAGCTTGCTGGACTCTCCGAGACGGACGAAGGAATCAAACCCGGGTCGGCTGCATGCAAGGCAAACACCCTACCCACTGTGCTATCGCTCCAGCCCGGCCCAGGTCATCTCTCTCAAACACTGCCCCCACCGCCGCCCCAGGACCAAGTTCATGGAGAAGCATGGATTATTAGCCCGGTGATTTCAGTGCCGCTGGGAGCTGGGCTAGTCAGCTGTGTGTTACTTGGCACCAGATACTAAACCCGATCCATTAGGTTGCTCTTGGCCGGCTTTCTCCTGCCAGCCATGGAAATTTCTGCTGCTGCCACGTGGGTGTCGGGCGGTTGTGTGTGTACAGACTGCGCCATACTGTTCAGTCCTGTTAGTGAGGGGGAAACGTGTTGGTCAGAGTCTGCCGGGGTGTCTGACAGCCTTTCTCAAGAGACCGTATTGCTTTTGGTCCCCAAAGTGTGTTCTTTTCCTCAGCAGCACTCCCTGCCTGGGACAGCAGCCGGCGGTCTCTGCACATGTGATACACAGTGGAAAATCTTAGGAGTGCCAGGGGCTGGGGGCGGCTGAGCACCACCTTTCCAGACACGGGGGAGAAAAGCTGGTGCCATCCAGCCCAGGTTTTGCTCCAGGTTCTCTCCGAGGCTCAATTCCCCTCCCTTTGATTGGGGTTGGGGAGGGCAGCAGAGAATGAGGACTCTGGCTGGGCCAGCAGGGCTGGGAAGAGGAGCCCACGTAGCAGTGCAGAGCAAGCCAGAGGCCTGAACTTGCACGCAGGCCCCTCAGTTCCTGCCTGCTGTTACCCAGAGAGCCCGACAAACTGCCCATCGCAGTCTCATCCTGCTCACTCAGGTCCAGGCCCCTCACTCTGAACCTTGCCCCTCCGGGAGACTCCTGTTGTCTGTCAAAGACCATCCTGACACGCAGTCCAACCACCACTGGGTACCACCCCCGACCTACCCTCACTCCCCAGATGCTTGCCAGGAGACCAGCTACCGACTCCGGGCAGATCCCAAAGGAAACTCATCAGTGTGCGTTTTGCTTTCAAGCAGGGGGCAAGGTGGATTCGAACCTCCTCTCCCTCCTCACTTCTGCCTGTTGATCCCTGATCCCAGCACAGCCGTTGGTGTGAGTTCTGGGTCTTGAAGGAGGGACAAGCCAGCTGGCCTCTGTCCCGGTCCAGCTGTGGCCCTTGCCCTTTGGGCAGGCTGGCAGGCGGGTCCTGTCTCGGCCCTGGTTATTTTCTCACACCTCCGGAGGTTGGAAAGCCGCCGTCAGGCACGGACAGAGGTATCCGTTCTTCTCACAAATATTTTTGTGGTATCTACTTTGGCAGCAGATGTCTTGACTATCCTTTCGAATGATTTCTTAGGATTAGAAAAGTTAAGTTAGGGCTGGAGAAATGGTACAGCAGCTAAGACACTTGCCTTGCATGCTGCCAACCCATGTTTGATCCCCGGCATCCCATATGGTCCCCCTGAGCACTGCCAAGAGCGATTCCTGAGTGCAGAGCCAGGAGCATGGCTGAGTGTGCCTCACAAACAAAAAAATGTTAAGTTAGCATCTTAGATTCTAAAATAAAAAGTGCTTTTTATCCTTTTGCTAGATAGGGTCAAACTGCGTCAAGGATCTCTGACTGTCCTCCACTGAGTTCACTTGAATTACTGGCAGGAAGAATTTTGTTTTAGATTTGCTTGGTGACTTCCTCCTCCCCCCCCCCCCCCCCAGTTTACATCTCTTTTAATTCAAATAAGATTGAATTGGGGTGGGGGTATGTGGTTTATTGAAAAGCATCTACAGTGTCATTTTCCCTTGTATCTGGAGATGGGAATCTGTTTCCAGCTGCATGAAATATAAATGCATGTTGATTTGCCCAAATAAAAATATTAACCTTTTTTTTTTTCAAACTGAAAGTCCCAGCTTGCCTGTTTCATTTACTTGAGAACTTTTCACACACAATTATCTACTTTTGTGGTGAAATAGATCCTTAAGTGTGTGGGGTTTGTGGTCCTCAAATGTGAGCAGTGTTCTTGAACACAAATCAGATTTATTCTTGGTGGTTTTTGTGATTTTTATCTTCTAAAAGATATTTGACTTTCATCGACCCAAAATTTATTCTAGTGTGAGGTGTATCAAATTGGTTATATTTTTTT